GAGAGGAGAGAGAGAGAGAGAGAAGAGAGAGAGAGAGAGAGAGAGAGAGAGAGAGAGAGAGAGAGAGAGAGAGAGAGAGAGAGAGAGATACATACAGACAGACAGACAGACAGAGACCGACACAACACACACCACACACACACACACACACACACACAGGGAGACAGACAGTGACAGGCAGATACACAGAGTAAAAAGGAAATTAACATGGAAATAATAAGAATAAGGATATTCATAATGTCCACTATGTTAAAGACAAAAGAGAATACCAAATACCAGAAAAGAAAACGTGTCAAAATAAGTTTATACACACGTATTCAGAAGCTAAAAGAATGACATTATAGAATGAAGAATACATTGATGATTTTGGAATGTATAGCTTAGTGGCTCTTAACATAAAGCGGCGCCTTCACCCAAGGGGGTGCAAACCCTTGGGGGAAAAAGAAGGAATATCTTTAATTATGTTTGTTATTTTCTTAGCGAGAACAGGGTCAAATAATAAGTATAATGATAATGTGACTAATTCATAATCAGTAAAAAGACGAATAACATGTTTTTGATTTTCTCTTATCCATCGATGTATGGGGGGCATGAAGGGAAAAACAAATACCTAAGGTTAAGAACCACCGGTAGAGATTGGTAAGGAATGTATAGGTAAAAGGGAATGGAAAAGCAAAATAACTTTACGAATAGATCACATCTGTTTATAAGAATATGTCATCAATCAATTAAATGAATCAGGGTAATTTCTAGTGGCCACAGGTTAATGTATAAAAAATGTAAAGATATAGTAAGGTCCCCCCTAAAAATAAGACCGTGCGATCCGTTTTCAGTGATCATTAATCGCTGTCAAAAGGAAAAACTCATTTTTAAAAATCTACAAGATGATTTCAAAACACTTTACCGGCTTGATAAAGTGACTTGAGAAATTCTTTAGACAAAATTGATTTAATGATCATTCACAAAGCAATTTCATGTTTTAAAACTAGTTTATGCCAAACAAAATAATACATCAAATGAAATATGAAATGTCTATTTTCACCAAAACAACAAATTTAGCCCATTTTCGCTATATGCCGACCAGTAACTAAAACGAAATAATTCAAAACAGCATATGCAATGTGACAATACAGTTGATTAGAATAAAGGAAAAATACAATAGTTTCTCCCCTAACTGTACAAAGAACGTGGCCCGTTTTCAATGATCGCCGACCAATGCCCGGGTTCCAGCTCGACGTAAACAAAACAGCTGATCAAGAGACGCCGGCGAAGGTGGTTGCAAATCCTCTCGGGCGAAAATCACAAAGATGAAGTGCATTTTTGCCCTTTCTATGCTCTGCTTGGCATCCGGGGCCGTCGTTAAAGCAGCTGAGGTGCTAAGGCCGAGAGGAGTGCCATTATCGAGTGAGTTTTATGTTAAAAATGGGTTTGCAACTTCGGAGGAATGTGGTTAGGTATTTTCTGGAGGTTCTTCATTAATTATGAATCTTGAATAGCCAGTAGATTTATTGTTATAGCGAAAGTCACGTTACTTGTAGAAAATTTATGGATTGTTTTTACTTCAGGAAAAGTTATGTGGATAGTATCTACCGGTGCTGGTAGCGGGCATGAGGTTGAGGTGTACAAAGTAGTTAAGAGTTTTGTACTTTGGTATATTAAGGTTCAGTCAAACCATCTGTGGGTTAGTTTGTTTCACCCAAACAGGTGGTAAAAGAGAAACTTTGACTGTAATGGATTGAAGGGCAAAATTCGAGGCACTTTTGATTAGTAATTTTGTTATCCATTTTTTTATCATCCTTTTTCCTCTCCTCTCCTTATATAATGTTCATACTTTATAATTGGTCTTCTGTCTAATGTATGTACTTTTTTCAGTTTTCCTTTTCATTAATTTTATTCATTCTTAGCAATCTAACTATATTACTGCCTCTTTACAAGAATTGTCTGGGCTGAGTGTTTTCAGGTACCAGGTTTCATAGTAGGATCCTGAACATTCAATGAAAGGAAATTGGTGAGAAATGTTTGTTTTTCTGTGTTGTGTTGATTCTGGGTTATTTTCAAGACTATACAGCGACAAAGAAGATAAAATAGACCTCAGTAATGATCCCAGTTTAATATCTGGGCCCACCAAGAGCTCCAAATGCCGAAAAAAGTTATTAAAATCAACGCAATCCAGACAGTAGAAGGAAGCCAACGAAAGTTTGATGGTTGTAGATGTAAAGGAATTTTTATTATTGTACGGTGTGAATGCAGCTCTATCTTGCCATACGTACCAAGGTGGAAAGAATGTGTCCTGGGGGGTGTTGGGGGGGCTTAACTCCCCATCAACCCTCCCCTCGGGCAGTGCCCAAAGGGCACGCCTAGTCACAGCAATTTATATTGATACATTAGGTTGGTTTATTGGTCAATATGTTTTTTAGGGGGTTTGGAACGTGTGAATTCCCATAGAGTTTTGCTAAAAGGTGGGTTGGGTTCCCATAGAGTTTTTTATTTCTGGTGCGTCAGTCCGTAGAATTTCAAAGATGGCGGATAGATCCGTAGGGTTTCATTGGCCGATTTTAAGCGTTTTTTGTGCTAGTTTTACACATTTTTTATCTTTATTTTTCTTATTTAAGCCTGTTTTACCCCATAATTACCCTGAAGTACTTCATGCCCTCCACTGCTAACGGGACTATCAAATCAAGATTGTCGATGGAGAAATGGTACTCAATCTCCTGAACGATTCATTCGCAGAAGAAACAATGCCGAAAATTGATGAAATTGGATTTCCTGCAGAAAAACATCAATATTTTTAGTCTTAGTCTCTGAGAGGGTGCATCGCTTTCTTATTATTTGGTTTATTTTACGGTGTGAACACAGCTCTATATTGCCATAAATACAGAGGTGAATAAAATGTATTTTAGGTGTGTTGGGGGTGTCGAGTCCCCCATCAATCATCCCCTTGGGCAGTGCCCAAAGGGCAGGCTAAGTCTCGGCAACTTTTTAGGTTAGGTGGGGTTTATTATTCAAGATGTTTTTTAGAATTTCAAAAAGATGTTTTCTGGGGGGTTAGGTGTGAATTTCTGTAGATTTTACCGAACAGATTCCTGTAAAGTTTTTATTTTTTTTTGGCACATCAGTAGAGTGTCATAAGCCAATTTAAGAGTTTTTTTTTTGTGTTGTTTTTATGCATATTTGTTCTCTATTTTTGCTTAAGCCTGTGTTACCCATAATTTACGTGATATACTTTATGCCCTCCCCTGCTATTGGGACCATCAAATCATGATTGTCAATGGAGAAATTGTATTTAGATCTCTTCAGTGATGCATTCACAGAAGAAACAACGCCAAGAATTGATGAAATCATTGAATGTCCAGCAGAAGCACATGCATTTTTCAACTTCGTCTTTGGGAGGGTGTATTGGGCCCGGTAACAATTACCATCAGATTTATTTTCATGTAGCAAAAACGAACCTGATCGTCATTTCCGTAGCAATCAGAGCCAACAATCTTGCTGAAATAAGAATAGAGAATAAAAATGAGTGAAGCCACAAAAAAAAGTGCTCAAAATTGGCCAATGAAACTCTACAAACGTGTACACCCTCTTTGAAAGGCAATGGACTGACGTGTCAACTTAAAAAAAAACTATGGGAACCCAACCCATCTATCGGTAAAATCTATAGGTATTCACATCCTAAACAATAAAGCAACCTAATTCTATGTCACAAACTTTATTCAACAATCTAAGTTGCCATGACTAGGTGTACACTTCAAGCACTGCCCAAGGAGCAACAACCCCCGGGAAACATTCTCTTCACTTCACTATGTACAGCAAGATAGAGCTGCATACATACCTTGAAGAATAAATTAAATACTTTTATATCTTGAGACACCAAACTTTCCTTCACTTCTGTTTATTTTCTAGATTTCTAGGTTTTTAACCCCCTAGCAATGGTATATTTATAAGCCGAAAATAATATTTTCTGGGTGGCTTCAAAATCAGTCTGTGGGTGATTCTGGCAACCTGCCCATGCACTGCCCACCATGGGCAACAGAATCAGAGCGCGAGCTCCGATCTGGCATCACCCGGCACTGTTTACTTTTCCGGGTGTTTCATAATGTGAGAACTCCCATATAAGTGGGTTATTCACCTTTTCCAATTTGTTATTCTATATCATGAAAGTCGCATTGTTGCTATAGAGGCTGGGGTCCAAGAAGCAGGAGAGCTAGGGATGAATGGTGGGTGTAGTGGTCTCTGGTGGCTGAATATAGAGGAATAAAGAATACGGCTTTATTAAGGAATTGATGTAACAAATGCACAGATTAATATGCATTAAATTCTCATTTGGTAATAGAGCATTTGCTCTTTCTGTTTTCTAACAAATATATATCTTTCGAAGGGTATAAACAAAAGTGAATTTATAAATATATGGAGAACCAGCCTACAAAATCTTTCTTTATCAATTTCTTCCTGTGAAAAGATAGATTGAACGGTAAAAGAATATATAATTTCAGTAAAAGTGAGAATTATATCATGCAAAATTAACATTTGCTGTATACCACAGCAAATAAATTTTTCTGATTTCTTTCTTTTTATTTGCACTTGCAGAAGCTTCTTTTTATGACCCAACAAGAGACTTCAACTGCTTAGACGGTTCAGGAACAATCCCTTTTGCATATGTTAATGATGACTACTGTGACTGTCAAGATGGAAGTGATGAACCTGGTACATCAGCTTGTCCCAATGGTTAGTATACTTGGTATGTAAATGGTTGAAATTGTCATATTTGCATGGTATTATTCATCATCATGGCATCTCTAAGAATTTTCCCTTATTCCTAGAGATTTGAATGATTTTTACAAAGGATCTAAATGAAATATTGCATCATAAAAGCAATAAAAACATTGCAGTTCCTGAAAAAAATATCTTTTTCTTCCTCCAAGCAATATAAAGTCTGTGTTTGGTAATGGCAGTATGTTAGAAGATTAATCTTAGCCTAACACCTCCTATAGGATTCTTCCACTGCACAAATGTTGGCCACTCGCCCCTCAACATCCCATCATCCAGAGTGAATGATGGTGTTTGTGATTGCTGTGATGCATCTGATGAGTACGCCTCAGTCTCCAATTGTGTTGACACTTGTCGAGAGCTTGGACGAGCAGCCCGGGAGGAAGCTGCCAAGCAACAAGAGGAGAGACTGAAAGGCTTCCAGATGCGGCAGTCGATGATTGAAGAAGGCCGTAAACGAAAGAAGGAAGCTGAGGTATTTTCATCTTAATTGTAGTTTGTTCAATTATTTCTGCTGGTTACGGAATTTTATAACTAGGAAATGACAAATAATTAATATATTAGAAGTGTGCGTAAAACATTCTTTATGAACTTCCATTGCTTTATCATCTATTCTTTTTTTTCTTTCTTTCTTTCTTTTTTTTAATATCTATAACTTTTCATTCAGATGAGTAGAGATACTCCTCTTATTTTCTTTTTTTTTTTACCATAATTTTTTCCTTTTTATCACATAAATCAATGTGAAGGGTTGTAGTAATCATTCAGTCAGTGTTCTATCTGTCATGAGTTTGTACACTTTCAAAGATATTACCTTTTTTTTTTTATTCTCTCTATTTTCTTTTCCTTTTCTCCTCTTTCCATTCTTTGTTCAAACTTTTTAGAAGAAGTATGAAAAATACAAGTCTCAACTGCATAATGGGAAGAGTACCTTGGCAAAGGTTAAGAATCAACTAGAGAAAAAGAAGGACAAGCTGCGAAGCGGGGATAAAATAGGTAGCACGAAGAAAAAGAAGTTCCTTGGGCAACCTCGATCAAGGGGGAGGCTACAGTCCAAAAGAAAACAGCTGAAGAAAGACCTCCAGGTCGAACAGCCTGAGTTTTTTTCTTTCTTTCTTTCTTTCTTTCTTTTTCATATTTTTTTCCATTTATCCTTTTGTGGGGGAGGGATGAGTGTGGTCTCCGTTGTGCCCATATTTGAAGGGAATTTTTGAAGAGTAAATAAGACTTGAAGTGGATTTTTCTGCTATTTCTGCATGTTGGGCTTGACATTGTGTCTAAAGGAAGTACCAATCCTGCAGCAACCCTAACCTTTTGCGGATCAAGAATAAAGGGACCAAAGTAAATGAAAAAAAAAATGAACGTTGATTCTTCTCTTTTGCCTCTTCTCCTTTTCTGAAATATATGTTGATTGTATCCCTTCAGATAACATTTGTTAACCCCTTCTTTACCAAAATTGATGGTTGTATAAGTATACACAGCCTAAAAATAGCTATGCCATACTGGATCTGTACCTGTTGTAACCTGTAACCCAAAAAAGAACAAATGGGACAGTTTGATGCACTTTTGTACAGGAAATATGATATATTCTAATAATTAAAGTTCGCTTACTTTGAATGCCAGAATACATCTTGTTGGATATATGTTAACATGATAACATTTCTTTGAAAAGTTTGAATTGATTTGAAAGCCTACAATAGCCTGGTCAGTATGGCAGAGCAACAGGTTGTTATAGTGTGGGATGCAGATCAGTAAAGAAGGGGTTAATGTAATTTGAGCTTTACAGTTTGCTTTATATATTTAATATCAGTTGTGTGAAAGGATGCATTAATCAAGACATATCCTACAATTTTCTCCCCCTCCTTTTTTTACAGTATATATATATATATATTATATATATATATTATATATATATATATATTATATATATATATATATATATATATATATATATATATATATTTTATTTATATTATTTTATATATATATATATATATATATATATATATATATATATATATATTTATATAGCCAATTAGTGCTAGGTACATGCAATTTCTACTGTGGTTTTGTTACATGTATACATATACTTTAGGTATTAGTGGATTAATGTGGCTGATTGAGACTTGACACTTTCATCCCATTTCTATAGACACAGAACATTTTAAGGTTCATTTTGTATTTAATTTCTTTATTTCACTAGTGCTGTTCATGGGCTATTGATTAAGTGCAACTCCTATTTCTCCAGGTGAAAATAGATGAGCTCAAGAAAGAGAGAGAAGAAGCAGAAGCCGCACGGAATGAGAAGGAGGAAATCAAGAAACTTGTTGAGGAGCCTGAGAAGGAGGCCCTGGAGAAGTACAATGCCATTGAGCAGGAAAGAAAGGCCAAAGCAGAGGCAGAACAGAAGGCCAAGGAGGATGCTGAAGCACGAGAGGCCTTCGCTCACTTGGACAATGATGGAGACGGAATTTTGACTGTTGCTGAACTCCAGTCTCGGCAGACCTTTGATACAAACAGGGATGGAGAAGTGACTGCTGAGGAAGCCAAGGTAATTTAAGTTCTATTCTCTTTAATGTATTTTTGGGTTGTAATTTATATTTAAGTGTATTGCTATTAATTGTATTATTGTTTTTTATTTGTTATGTCTTTTGTACTCAGTTTTGTGCCAAATGTCAGTTATCACTTATTTTTATATAGTTTTGCTTTCAAAGTATCAAAGTCTGTTTTGTAGCATTCACTCTGTCGTAGAATTATCAATAACTGAAGTGAGATCACCTTTATGAAAAGAGCTTAATTTCTCCCTTAACCCTTTACCAGTTCTACTTACGACAAGAGGAGACAATGGACTTGGAGACCTTCCTGGTGTCCGGGTGGCCCATGATGCGACCCACATACAAGATGGACCAGAGGATGTTTGTCCCTCCCACCACTGAGGCACCAGCAGAAGCACTAACCCCACCTCCTGTTCCTGGATCTGAGGGCAAGGTGGGTGACTGCTCCCCGGGGGTGATAACACTTTGAAGATAGTAGCTGGTCGAGCATCACTTTGACTAAAAACAAATTATGAGAAGCTGTCACAGCTGCATGCACTTTGTTACTTACAGGCTATCTTTGTGATTCATGTTCAGTTCATGTTCAGCCACTTAGAGCATACAATGACACTATTATTTACAGTTAAAGGAGGGATTATTCATTGTGCCTTAAGTTGTTTTTAGCTTCTTATATTTTGTCTTAAAATCCATAGGTATTGTGGCTTGGAACTTGTTTGTGATGCATAATTTGCAGCTGCTGTGAAGAAATTTTGAGAAAGCAGATATCAAATAGAATTTAGACAAATCTATCAGGTTATGAAGATTCATTATAACTTTTCCAATAAAATCATAATCTCCGCAACTATTAGAGTAATGTAGTGCATAAAGCAGCCTGGGAGCTAAGGGGACACTGCCAAGCCAGTGTCCCTAGTGGCCTTCCAGGGCCAGGCCTGGGCCTGCCAAAAGGAGGGCCGCGTGCTAAAACCAGGCCACCTGAGCACATTTACTGTGTGCTTGCATGCAAAGGTGTATATATACATACACAACATATGCGCAAAGGAGGGAATGCAGCACGGCCACAGAGCGCACTCTCTTGCGCGGTTCCATACATTACCTATGTTTGAAATAAATACTGCTACAGGATTACGCACCATATTGCAAAATATCGCTGCCATTGGGTTAATAGATGAATGGAACCCCCTATATTCAGTATTAGAGGATTCAGACGTAGCATGTTTTTATAATTTGTCTTTTGAAGAAAACATCTTTAGATAAAGTGAGAGATAGTCTGAACCAAGAAGACTGAAACATGCATATTATTCCAAGATAACCAAAAGTTCTGAAAATGTTGCACTGAATTCAAAAGCAGATTTTTTCAAATTCAAATTCTAAGCTATGAGGAACAGATGATAAGTATGTCCCCTTTTACATAGTGTACAACACCTTGAACACACGCACTTCTCACTTGTGTTACTGTGTTGGGTAAGGGCACTTCAGTGTGAAGTAAAATAGTTCAGGAACAATTTTTGCTTGTTTGTATATAATTTTTGTGTTGTAACTTTTGATATAGACATATATTTGTATACATTGTGATGAAGTTTCTGTGCTGAATTCTAGTAATAAGAAAGGCATACGACCAATGTAAAGTCAGTGACACAAGTCATGATACCCCTAATGGCAAACATTATGGGCATGTGATCACAGATGATATAGCAGTAACCTTTTTTATCAGCCACTGGCTCCATAGCATAATGGCTACACTTTTTGATATGTATACCACAATAATAACACTTGCCCATGTAGCCACGTCGGGTATCAAGACTTCCATCACCAACTGTACATAGCTGTATTCCCTCACAGGATGAACAGCAAGGAGAGGAGGATGAACATTTCGATGATGAGGACTTTGACACTGGCCTGGACCCAGAGGTACCGGCTGTGGGTGCATGTGGCTTTGGTTTGGGGTTCCTATACGTTCTTCAGCTTTATGTACATATCTTGATTCCTTTTTATTTTCAGTATGATGAAAGCAGAGTTTGGATTTTTAGTTTTTAGGTTGTACATTTAGTTGGAAAAAATATTTATCATTGCACTTGCAATGCATGGCTTATCAGATTAATACATAGGCATTTTAAGATTGGGCTTTTAGTTATACCAGTTTTTGTTCTAAGGGACATGTAAATTGTTGTTTTGGTATTAATAGTGGTACCTATGCAAATCATATAGGAGTCACTTTACAAATGCGTACTATTTGTCAATTGGCCGTACAACACCAACTGACAACAGGCAAGATACCCTGCCCAAGATGCCTCATAGTTTTATTTTTCTGTCTTTGTCTGAGCATGAACATATTTATGACAAGCAAAGAATATCTGCTAGATCTATTTGCTTTTAGCTACTGAAAATCATTTTTGACAACTTTTTAATTAGTATTCCACTCTGTCTCTTACTTTTTGGTGGGATATTTGTGTGTGCTCGTGTACATGCATGCGTGTGCGAAAATTCCACTTTCCCTTTCTCTATTTCATTTTTATGACTGGAGTTGACTCATGTTATTGTTCAGTCTTCCTCCAGTGTTATGATGGTGTGATTTTATAATATATGTATAAACCATGTAAGAACACATATACTTTTAGTTCTTATGTGTAGTGTTATATTAAATGATTCACAAAGAGTGACGCAGAGTATATTAAGCATTTTGTTATTGTCAGTTTTCTGACAAAAATTATGATAAGGCAGAATTTTATGTATTGCTTGCTAGGAACTCCACCCTTAGAAAGTACCATAATACAGGATACTAACAAAGCCTAACCTTTCCCTCTGGATGTCCCAACCAGATATCACGCTACGTCAACTCCAGGGCAAATTGGGAACTCATGTCGGTGAGGGGTTTTACCTCTTGGTGCATGGAAGTCTTGTCTCATACACTATACACCCTGCTACTGCTGTGCACTCTCCTCTCTTACTTCTAATGTATTACTTCATTTCCAGTGTTGTTTCTCCAAGATAATACCCTGCAAAAATGGCATGCTCAGTGCATAAAATGTCTATAAAGCTTTTTTTTTTCATCATTATTTAGATATGAATATTCTTATTTCTAATCTTGTAATATCTTTTAACCATATATATGTGGAATTAGATGTTTTTGTTGTTTTTTTTTATTGTTCATGTAGATAAATTATGAACATGTGTCATGTTGAAACCTCAGAAAAAGGGTCAGGGATTAGCCCTTTGTGCTGGGATGGTATGACAAACGCGCCATGTCCACTGCGAGTTTTGCTTCTTATTTGGAATACACAGATGACTTCACAATTACCTAATCATAAAGGAGTAGATTACTAGCTCTACTTTTCTTACCTGTTTACCCTTTTCCTTGAGGTTCAGACAGGCTTTAAATTTCTTATCACTGCTAGTATTCTAATAACTATAAAGCTGTGGTAATGTCAGGGGTTATAATAAGAACAGTATCAGTGTTTTGATACCATTAGAAAAAAAAATCCCCAAAATTCAATGACAGGAAATGAGGCCGAGGTCACATTGGGCTTCTGGTTGATTCTTTGGGGGATGAGCTTTTGTGAAGCCATCTTTGTGTAACAAAATTCACTAAAAATTACGATGAATAGTACATGTAACCACATACAAAAAGTTAAAGCATTCATAAAAAAAAAATGGATAATAAACAGAAGTAAAGTGAATATTGAAAATAATTGGACAGCTTGAACTTGAAAAGTGTTAAAAGTTTTGCAAGAAATATCAAGTCTTGTAGACCTTAAAATTAAAAGTAGTGCTCTTCAAATTTGACAGTTGCAAGGACATTCATCTGGTAACAAAGTGATTCAAGGAATAAGATTTTTTATTAAGCTACCGAAGGTGTTAGCAATACCTCAGGTAACCAACCTCATGGTAACCATTTTCATGGAACTTTCCCCATGGGGCCTCCTTCTGGAAGTATGTGATAAAGAGTTCCAGCTTAATGATATAACAATGTGATGGTATTTTTGTTATTATTTATGTACTAAACCATGGACAAGGTAATTATGTACATTTTATGGAGAAGTGCATCTGCCTCTCACATGGCATAATAATTGATTGTCTAACATCAACCCTAGGATGAAGGTGATATGGAAGAAGACGATGGAATTGAAGATTATGATCTCCCTGAGGATGATGATGTTGAAGATATACCAAAGGAGGAAGAGGAGGAAGAGATTGACCAGAAGTATGATGATGAAACACAAAAACTTGTTGATGGTAAGGCTAATTCTATTTTTTGTGTGTATGGGGAGTGATAATACAGACCTTATTTTTTCACTCTGTTTTTTGTTTTTTTCTGGTTATTATTTTTGTGGAAACTGCAACGTAGTGGAATTGTATTATTTTCTTCTTGCAGCTGCCAATAAGGCCAGAGAAGACTTTGACGAGGCTGACAGGAGAGTGAGGGATTTGACGAGGGAATTGCGCTCACTAGAGGAGACACAAGAGAAAGATTATGGTCCTGAGGAGGAATTTAGAGTTATGGATGGAAACTGTTACGAATTCACAGACAGGGAATATACATACCGTCTCTGTCCATTCGATAAGGTATGTGACTTGGAACTTTGTCGACTCATCTGTTTCAATTGATACCTATTCATGTGTCTTTTACTTTCCTTTTAATTTTGGTCATATGTACTTTCAGAGAAATACTCTTTCATAACATATTTAACATTTAATATTCATATTTAATAGTTAAATGTTTGATTCATTGTACAATTACCCAATCTTTCATGTAATTTTTCGGTACACAGGCTGTACAAAAGCCCAAGGCCGGCCATGGTGAAATTCGACTTGGGCAATGGGGTGAATGGACAGGCCCAGAGGAGGATAAATATAGCAGAATGAAATATACCAGTGGACAAACTTGCTGGAACGGGCCTGCGAGATCAGCAGATGTGAGTAGTATTGACACTGAATCTGTTTCCTTAGAATGTTTCTTGGTCAAGAAAGTGGTTGAGATATATTTATCATTTGCATTTATTGAAAACTAATGATGATGAATTAGTGTCCCTTGATATGTAAAATGTCTTTATTGAATTTGATTTAGGTGTGTATCTGGTTTGTCTTTTATTTGGGGGGAAGTGGGGGCTTTTGGGCAATAACTATTTTATACATCTTTTTTTTTTTTCTTTTCTTTTCTTTTTTTTTTCCAGATGCCATTTGTTAACAACATGTGCTTCCACATTACTTTTAATGAATTTACATATTTTTCTTCTCTTACTCCTCAGGTCCACTTATATTGTGGTGTGGAAACCAAGTTGACGGGAGTAACAGAGCCAAACAGATGCGAATACCTCTTTGAGATGACTACACCAGCTGTGTGTACTAAACCTGAAGATGTTAGTGGTGATGAGGGCACTCCACACGGCCACACAGAATTGTAAAATATCAGTGCGTCTGGGGAATTTAGATTTATTTTATTACATGGTTTACTCTTTTTTTTTTTCATACATGTAGCTCAAATGTTTAAGTAATCTTTATTTCCCTTTTAAGCATAATCTAAGTTTTCAGGTTTTTATAAACAAGAATGTTAATGAGCATACGAGCTCAAGTGAGTATGAAAATTTTCATATTAGCTCAGGACCAGTGATTTCTTTAACTTTTCACATATATCTTTGGTTCATCTGAATCTTAACCATTAATTTTCTTTGTCGTGTTGTGACTGCCTCGCGCAGGATGTGATATATTGGTATTAATTTGTGAAATTCCATGGGTAATTGGGCAATTGTCTACACATTATTTTTGGGAAGAAACATCAACTAAATTTATTTGGGATGCAAATTATTGGAAAGATCTTATTATCACAGCATAAAGTATTTGTAATTGGTTATTTGCTTAACAAAATAAGACATAAAATTAAGCTCGTTTATGTGATCTAAAACTTTTCAACTGAACTAGGTTATCCATTCTCTAGCTTGTCGGAAAGAGTCACATTCGGAGTGCTGGCCTGAAATACATGCCTTTTTTAAACATATGTCAATAGATGCGTAAAGAATGATGTCTGTGGCTGTGATATATCGTCAGCAGATTCTGTCCCAGTAGAATAAAAGTTGATTGTTTTTTGAAGCATTACACTAAAGAAAAGAACAGAGGGGTGTCTCTGAGATAAGACACTTTGGGCTTTGTATGTTTCACTTGCATTGATGGATGAATTTCACAGCATCAGTTCAGTGATGGGAAGTTGATGTTATTGTTAATTACACACACAATTTACACTAAGCATTCCTTTAACAACTTTTCCACCAATTGGCACATTAGTGAAGAATGTTAAACATAATTGACCAGAATATATTAAGGGTTAATTTTGTGTATTTAAATCAAGATAACTTGTACCAGTGAGACAGTACAAATGAATGGAAATGCTTTAGGGTTTCTGGGATAGGAGAAAAATAATTTCAATGTCGGCTTTTCCTCCAATATCTTTTGTTTCTGACATTTTGCCTGTTTATGCTTTCTTCTTGTCTTTTCAAGGCACCTCTCTTTTCATCTGTCAGTTCCTTCAATTGCTTCATACCTGTTTCCTTTTCATTCCCCTATTGTTATATTCTCATGTGTTTTTTATGATCTCCTTTGCACTGTTCGAAGGATTTGCTCAGAGCCTTAGATTAACAAGGTGAAAAGTTTCACGTTGAGTCAGAATGTAGGTTAAAAGGTTGATAATGTTCGGGCAAAATTTGGAAAATTGAAAATTTGTTACTCTCTAAATTGTTTCCATTTCATTTGTAAAATAAAAAAATTTTAATCATGAATGTGTTAACAGTATCACTGCAGTGAAGAGTCCTTGATGATAACTTTTTTCTAATATGAATGGAGACCGGTTATGTAATCAGCCCATAATTGTTTGAGAGTCCAAGATAATGGGGCAACTGCGATCTCAACATTCCTCTCAGAATATTCTTGATATTTGTCAGTTGTGGTTAATAAAATTTTGTAAAGACCTCAGTGCTTTCTCTTCCTTTTTAATGAAGGCGTTTTTGATTGACAGCGAATGAAAATGTGTAACGAGGTTTGTAAAGAAAAATGTGGTGTGTTGTAAATTTAAGTACACTGATGACAATTATTCTTACCCTATGTGCACTGCTAATGCCTTCCTCGTTGTTGTCCTGAGGGGGCTTAGGAGATGCAGACTTATGCCTCAGCCCTCACCTCAATTTTGCATGGTCTTTTCTTTTCCCCATTTCCTTTTCCTTTTATTCATCACCTTCTGTCTACTTCCTAAGGTGTGGGGTAGCCCCTTCATCAAATAGCCTATCTAAATTTGATTTCATTGGTTTTCCGATCCCCGTCTCTTTTGACCACGTCCCCGACCACTTATACTAATGCCCCCTCCTCGATGTTTGTTGTCAACTCTATCCATAAGGAATCGTCCACCCAGGTCATTACTCGACCTTCAGAATACACCCCTTCCCTCCCAGTATCATCTATTCCATCCTACTGCACAGTCTTCATTGTCTATCCCCTCCCCCATGATACTCTTCATCCTTTTTGTACTCCCCACAGTTCTACCTCACTCCACACCACCTCATCTTCCTCCTGTCCTCGCCTTTATACTACCACCACCTTTTGAGTACTCTCTCTGGCCCAGCCAAGTGGGATAGATTCTTTGTGGTTCCCCTTACTCCTTACTCCTTGCCCCTTACTCCAACAATACCCCTTTCTTCCAACAATGTCTCCAAAATAAGTTGACAACGTTTCTTTCGCAGTTGTTCTGATCGTTCGCCTTGTCAGTTACGTCAGGGGGCCCACGCTTGTGCACTATCTACCCTAACTGATCTCACTCCTCTCTTAATACTTGCACCGGATCTGTTTCCATTTCCCCGTTTCAACGATGACTGTTTAGAATGTGAAAACAGCCTGCTCGTCTGGCGTGTTGACTCTGATGCCGTGGCAGTACAATGCTGTATTATTCCTAGAAGCCAGCTTAAGCCTTACACCAATATTTCTAAAGATAAGTTTCCGTAGACATGACCCCCGTGAAGTTTATATTGGTGAAGTATTCTACCATATCGACCCCTTCCCCGTCAATGTCAGAAAATTGGCATTAATCTGCATTAATAAATTTTTCATGTTTTTCATTGTTTTGTCATTAAATCAAGGATATACAAAACACGTGTAAAACATTTCCTTATTGCAAGTCATCATCAATGAAAGCAGGCCTACAGTTAAACAGGACAGGAAGCATAAAACATGCAAAAACAAAAATCTCCCTTTCCTATCATTTTCAATGCATAAGTGACGATACACCGTGTGCACAGCGTCATCTGTTGTTTAGATACCACACTATCCGCCATACTTTCCTATCTTTCGTATATAGTCTTTGCTATAACGCTCTATAGCCTTTGACATTTAACACAGTTTATCCTAATCGTCAAATCAGGTTTTACTCTTTCGCCATAATACTCTAGTTTCACTATTCACATGAAAAGAACTTTAAAGTGCTTCTTGTTGTGCGAGTGCGTACAGCATCCATGATGCTGTACCAAGAACTTCTAACTAGTATTCATAAAAAAAAGCTTGCTGAAACATTGTGGCCAGTGTAAATACGCGATTAAATCACAAATCCTTAAGTAAATACATTTCAATTCATGTATTCTCTCTTTCCATGCTTATATATCGTGCGGGTCTGTAGCGGCAGGCAAGTTACTTCGCTTTTACTTGTTAATAAGCTTGCAGCGTGAAATTCGAATATGACATATCACAGCTCATAAGAATAACCTGGATAACGAAGCTTATACATTCCTTTTAATCAGATAGATTAACGGCGAACTGCTATATACGCCAAATCAAAAAGATATATCGGAAAATAGTTGATTCAAGTTTTAATGCATCGAAATATGCAACATTCTTTAGTTCTGCTTCGTCGAAAAAAAAAGAAAAATGGTTCAGTTTTGAATGCATCGAAATGTCCTTCATTCTTCTGCTCTGCTTCATCGCCATTTCCTTTCACTCTTTCCTTCATCATTGGTCTTGTTATCTCAACGACTTTCGCCCCGAACGCGGTCGACGAACACCTCCAAAAGCAGGAGGATGAGAGCTGCTCCGTGTCCAAGGAGCAGCAGGTAAAAGGCGCCTTGCAGATGGCTCAGATTCAGAACCACGATGCCGTCTCCGTCCTGCAATGGCGCTGAGATTAGTTCTCTCTCACACCTGTGTTTGTGTGTGTGACTCGCACATTTTATGCATGCTCCAGTTCATATATGTGCGTAATTATACATTTAATCAGAATTGTGGATTCTATTTCATTCTTAAGCACTATTTTTTTTATATTTATGTTAAAACGGGTGTTTAAAAAAAGATGAACCAGGATTAGATTGGTTAATAACGTCCTTTGAAACTACCTGAGACAGGCGCTCGGTCGCTCCCACGGCCGCGTCTTCCTTCGCCCTGTGTCTATCAGCGTAAGCCCGGATGACGTCACGCAGCCAGAAGTCGATCAACCCAGCCTCTATGAGCCGCTGCTGCAGCATGCAGATGTGGTGACGGAAGGGGGCGCCTTTCCTGTACATGAAGGAATGTATATATATATATATATATATATATATATATATATATATATATATATATATATATATATATATATATATATATATTTGATGAGCAGCTTGGTTGGGCTTTGAGAACCCAGGGTGTGGAGGAAATGCCCCCCTTAATTCTTCTCACTTGAACACCACCGGTTATTGTCTGTCCTCAATAAGCGTACGAGTGTTCATGTCATAAGGGCTCTAGGTATCCCTGCTGCCATTGCAAAGACGGATGAGTAGTTTAGCTACCAACGGCATCCTTGAGGTGGACCCTCTGAATTGTAGCCATAGATGTGTGCCCAACATCCCTGAATTTAGCCATCTCCCTATTGTAGGAAGGAACATCCCCGCAGTTCTTGCTTTCCTTCCTTTTTCACATTTTTTTTCTTACTTTCTCCTTTTCTTATTACAATCATGAATGTCGATATAGCCATGGCCCCAGTCCCCAGCAGGCCTTCAGTGGTCAGGGGGTGCTAAGAACCTCTGGGTTTTGTATAATTGTTCTTTCTCAAATTTATGTTTTTTGTTATTTTTATGTGGAATTGTTTTGTTAGTCTGGTGATGTTGAGTTGAATCCTGGTCCTTGCGTCCAAAGTATTGTAATTTACTTTTTGTAATATTCGTGGCCTTCACGGGAATTTGAATGAA